TGTGAAGCTTACGATATGACTCAAAAGCATCACTGAAACTTTTTTTCCTATTCCTTAAAAATGGGTGAATAGTAATTGGCTAATTTCGATCAAACAATGAAAAATGGAACTCATATTTGAGATGTAGGCACAGTAAGCTAAAATGAAGGGTTTCCCAAGAGGCTATAACGTTGCTCTGATAGCATTGGTGAGAAAATATTGCAAGTGTTCAGGAATAATTGGGTAAAATGAAAAGCCACTTTGAGGCTAAAAAGGCCTCCATAAGCTATCTTAAAGCCAAGCCAATGGCAAGAGATAAGTGAAATATATCGACAAAGTTGAAATGGTAAATTGGCCACCGTTACGATTATAAAAGCTGACGTTTCGAGCGTTAGCCCTTCATCGGAGCAAAGGGCTAGCGCTCGAAACGTCAGCTTTTGTAATTGTTATGGTGGCCAATTTACCATTTCAACTTTGTTGATATATCCAGGTTAATAGACTGTCATGGTATGGGTGAAATTACTCACGAAAACAAACTTAGTGGCAGGCATAACTATGTCTTAGAGACTAGTGAAATGCCAAAGAATCGAGTTATTGTTAGAGAAGAGAATTGAGTTGATCAAATGCACAGAATGTTATTAAGTTAATAAATTTTGCAGTTCACAAAGATGAGAACTATCTATAACTGGTTCTAGAGCTGGAAAATTTAACCAAAAGAAAAATAGTTGAACAAGGTTGTAATCAGATGCAGGTAACACTGGATTCCTTTTTCCAAAAGCATTTAAAAGCAGCCATCATATTACATTATGCGGCATAAAATTGCATTTTAGGTAAAACCTCAATACACCAGACACCTCTCTAAAACCGGACATTTCCTCTGGTCCCAAGGGTGTCCAGTTTTGAGGAGGTTCCACTATAATCCCTCCCACCAACACAGCTCCAGATTGTTTTTTAGAAACCCATTGCTTTATTCTTTAGCTCTATGTAATCATGTTTACTAAATAGCGATAGTATAATTATGGTAAAAATTGATCAAACCTTTGAAAATACCAGTCGACATTTCATGTAATGGAGAGAATTTGGAATAAGACACACACCAAACTGCTAGGCATCCATGTTAATGAACACTTAACTTGCAATATTCATATTAATGAACTAGTAATGTCATGCTATGGAGCCCTGGCCATGCTAAAAAAGTTATATAACCTAGCACCGTTCCTTTTGAAGAGGCAGTTAGTAGAGAGTTTGTTCCTATCTAAGTTAGATTATGGTAGTACAATGTTCTTTCCATTGCCATTGTGTCAGCAAAAGCACTTACAAAGAGTCCAAAATGTATGCGTGGGTTATGTATTAGGTTGCTATGCGAAAGAAGCAGACTGCCTACAGCTGGGCTGGCTACCGGTGATAGAGCGTAGAAGTTCTCAGTTACTGCAGTGCGTATTCAAAGCACTATACTTTGACTATTGACCACAGTACTTAAAACTCGAACAATACGTACCAGCAAGAAATCTACGCTCGTCCTGTGAAGTCAGATTAAAGGTGCCCATTGAAACTGGTACTTTTCAAGACAGCTCAGCAGCCATTTTCAATGCATTACCAAGTTATTTTAATTTAATTTTAACGTAATTTACATAGCGCCAACTCCACTAATTGACCAAAGCGCTTAAATCTGCGAAACTGTACAGACTTTTGATCCTTTAAGAGTGATTTGACATATCTTTTTAATGATGCTGGAAAGAGATTAGAAACATGAATCTCAGGCCTTTTAGCTTGTTTATATTTTAATGCTTAATCGAATGTGATTTATTCTTAACTATAATGATATAGTGTAATTAGAATCGTATAGTAATTTTAGCATAGAAGAGCCAATTCATTTTTGGAATGCTAATAAACCTTTATTATTATTATTATTATTATTATTATTATTATTATTATTATTAATACCTTAAGGAAGGAGGTAAGGCTGGGTAAATGGACAACTCTGAATTGTGTTGCTACAAGCATCTTGTAACTCATGGGAAGAACACAGTCTTGACTAGTTAGAAGGTCTAACCATTGAGTCCCTTTTTGGGAATCAGTTTTTTTTTTCTGTCTTTTACTTACAGTAAATGATTTCTGAATTTATTTTTTTAGTTTTATTTTAGATCTTCAGAATGGACTGGTGCCAAGTAATAAAGAAAGGGTACAATTTTACAGTTTTTATGATCACTGTTGCTTCTGTTGGTTTCTCAGAATTTCTGTTTAATCCATTATAACTAAACACCTGCAAAATGTTCATGGTATATAAGAATTTGCATGTCAAAATTTTTGCATTCAAGCATCTTGTTGAGATGTGGGTTCTTAGCAGAAAGCAGCCTACAATAATTGATGGTGGCTAGTTAGGAATATTATTAGCTGCTAATTTTATGTCCCTCTTTCTTTACCCTTCGTGTTTTCATCATTTGTTGCAGTGGCATACTCCAAGATTGGCAAACAACTGCTTCAAATCCTAGTGAGAATGCTTAAGATGGGCTAGCTAGTAATTTTATCGTAGGTTCTGAGTTTCAAGAACATTTCTGTGAAGCCTGCATCAATATACGTACTTTTAATTATCATTCTGTTTCTCCAGCTTCCTGAAAATACATCTGCTATTGGTGTGGCTGAAGGATTTGTAGATGCCTGGAAACTCTATGGAAGTGAAAAGTAAGTGCAATATGTTGAGAGCAGATAACATCATAATGATTTTTGAACCAAGTCAGCTAATGTGAAACAAATTGATCAGCGGTTGGTATGCTGAAATCCAGATTAAGGGGAACAGATCTAAGCTTCCCTGAGTCACTGTGATATGCTATTAGGCCAGACTCTCTACTTTCTCAGTTCCTTTCCCCCTTGGAGTATGAAAGAGTACCAGTGAACTCAAGGAAATGAAAGGGGAGAGGGTAATTGCAAGGAATTTGCCTCTCCTTAATGTGGAGTTAGTAAGGCTCCTAGCTACGTCATATTACAGAATCGCAGATTAGTTCTGATAGCGGTAGGCCACAAGTATTGAAGACTTCCAAGCCATATATTCACAAACTTCATAGTTTATATCTTGGGGCATTCAGTTTTAGGCATGGTTAAGTTGTTTTTATTTGGACTTTTTCAACTCATGTTAGAGCAGTTGTGATGATGGTTGTCAGTGAAAATGAGAGTAACAGATTTGATCAGAGATGGATACAACACCTCATGAGAGAAATGTAAGTATACATCAATCTTCACCTATTATGTTTTATCTTGTTGCTGTCTTGTGATATGTTGTTGTCTTTGTAGTTTTGTATAACTAATGCAGTTGTGTTTGTAATTAAAGCTGTCAAACCCTGATTGTGAAGGTTGTGTTGGGTTTTCAGAGATGCTTGTGCATTGTATTACTTTCATCAAGCTGCTTTGTGCTATAATTACCTTTGATTACTGGTAATTGTTACTCTGAACTCACAAAAGCTTACTGTTATGTTTCGTAGCAAATGTTAACAAGATGCCATTAGACAAAAAAGAAGAAAAAAGGCTTTGTGAAATCAGTCTATCCAAAAAAAAATTCCAAGTTCAAACTCACATTCACCTTTGGTATTATTTGTGATTTCATTTAAGCAATCCATCTGCACGTCTGATTAGAAAAACCTTCAGCGACATCGGAAGAACAGGAGAACTAAAGGATGACAAATCACTGATTGTGTGAGCATTTTGTCTTCTACTTAAATTATTTGTTTTTCTTATTCTTAATTTTCTGTTCTTCCTCTCAGATCTCTTTCACTGTCAATACAATATTGTTCATTGCTGTAAGTTAGTAGTATTTGTACAAATGTTCTATTTTAGAGTTATTTCAGACTTGATTCACCATGGACAGGACTTAGGTTTTGATAACAAGCTTTTTGTGTTTGTTTACAGGGATGGACATGAAGTTGCTGTTGTGTATTTCAGAGCTGGATATGATCCAGACAATTATGAATCAGAAGTGGTGTGTAGAAAATTTCACAATAATTGTTTCTCTCTCAGTTTTGACCCAAAAGGAATATTTCCTTTCAGTATCAATTAGTTTTAAGCAGAGAGGTGATGACAAGAAAGAGGAATATCAAATAAGAGATATTATTTGTCGTAAAATCTAATTCTCGTGTGTCAGATGGTATGGAGAATTGATAGTGGGTGAATGACTATTCATGAGTTCAGCTTGAAAAAGTTATTATCATTTTTTGGGAAACTTTCAATGTCTCCTCTTCTTGTAGCAGGTGTGATATATGTCACTGGCAAAACCTATTGTGTAGCTTTAATAACAACCCAAGTCCCCTGTAGTCACCAGCCACTTGCACAGTCCTTTTTAGGGAAGTTGGATGTGTTCACTTCAAAAGTGCTTGCTTACATATGGGCAGATCAATTGTCATCATCTTCAATCTAAAAAATGGATAATGAAAAGAACACCAATTATATAGAGAATATTTAAATTATAACCCTTACTTTCCTTGATATATTCCATAAAATTTTAGCTCTGTGAATTTGATTCTAATCAAGCAGTCCCCCAGTTGATGTTTGTTGTCATTCATATCATCTCTCTGCTTGAAAATATATTAAACTCCAGGTAAAAATTAATTGTCACAATGATGAAGTGTTCCTTAAAGGTCTAAGGGTTTCAAGAGCCTTCCAAGAGTTGGCTGGGGGTCTCAATTTCTTTTACACATATCTGGACCCTGTATTTAACATCTACTCATTTTTTTTCCTTGCACAGGACTGGAACACTCGTTTGATGATGGAAAGATCCAGAGCTATCAAGTGTCCATCTGCTGCAATTCATCTTGCTGGTACAAAGAAAGTCCAACAGGTGTTAGCATCACCTGGGGCATTGGAAAGGTGAGTGCTGTGATTTGGGAATGTTCTGGTTTGGATCTGTATTGTTAGAATATGTAATTGACTAACTGAGATCATCAAGGGTGGAATAAACCAAAGAAATCAAATGAGAAAGGTGGGGAGTTTATATTCTCAAGTCATACAGAAACTGATGGAAAAGGATTGTTGCGTGGAAATAATATATACTTGAATTTGATCTATTATGCTTTTTAATAATCAAAACATTGTGCATCTTGGTACTGTTATGTCATGTTTGCTAAACAATGTGTTTTCCAACACTTTAAGAGCGTGTCCATGAGAAAACCGGGCAAGGGGTGATAAACCTCAAATCACTGATTTGGCTCAAACTTGGCACAAATTCTAGGTATCACGAGTTAACAAATGTGTGAAAATAATAGGTTAAACTATTTAATTCCCTGGGAGATATAGGGTTCCCCTGGGAAACCCCCATTTCCTTAATTTTTTGCACAATTAAATAGCTAACTTTGCATTGCTGCTGTGCAAATTCAATCAGCTGGGTTGTATTTTATATCTACCAGAATTATAGAAAATTGAATTGTTTTAGCTTTTTCATTTCATTTCTTCCCTTACATCTCGCTTAAGTAAAGATGACTTTTTCTGGTTTTGAGAAGTCCAAAAACAGTGGTATTTTAAGGCCCAATATCTCTGATGAGCAACTGCTTCTGATCATTACTCCTATATGGGTAGTGAAAGCCATCACTGGACTTCCAAAATCAGTAATAAAATTTTTGGGCAATTTATTTCATAGCCCGTGCTGACGTGAAATTTTCATCTACCTCCTACTTTTTAGTCTATATCATCAAAATTCTGTACACCATACCTTTGTTTTATTAACTTAAAGTAACTTGAAATTTACAAGAAATTTCCCAGAGAGTATCATTTAAACATGAACGAGGAGAAAATATTTGAATAGCGCAAGTTGAGCCATTTTTGAGAACTTTTCTTGCAGCCATATTTGGATTACTGGTATTCTCGAGGAAACGCAGCAGTTGATGATGAACATCAAGGGCGCATGTAGGCGAACTTTCTGACAAAAGAAATCTAAGAATAAACTTGATGGTACATACATGTCTCTGTGGTACCTCAGTTACAACTTTTGCCTTGATATCATTTGTTAGATAAGTAGCCATTATGTCAACAATGTACCAGATTCAATTTGCTTCGTTGCCTTGTTGAAATATTAAACGCAGACAGAGCTCTCAGAAAGATCCACCAAAATGACTGTTCTTTTATGGCGGGATACTTATTGACTTACATGATATGTGTTGGTGGCAAAAATATAATTTGATGCCCTAAAAGCTGATGTTAATCAAAAGGACAATCCACCATCTTTGATCAGGTTGCACCTGCAACTTTGCTGTAACTTGCTATGTTTGCCCCCTGACAACCTCAGAGATGTTTGCGAGGATCTGTGAAATGTGAAAGAGAGGATTCTAGTTGCCTTTCCTATCACTTTATGCCTGGGATATTTGCAAATACACGATAGTTGGTGTCACAAATTAAAATCCTACTCTCATGTACTCACCTTCTGAAAATGTAGCTGAGTCTGACACTCCGACAATCTTGAAATGCATGCCGACATCCTTGGTACACAGTTTCTCTTATCAATTGCTTTGCCAACTGTGCATTTTAACATTTTCAGACTTAAAGGAGTTCGGGGAAGCATATAAGTCTCTGGCCTACTTGAGTCACTAAGAAAAGTAGAAGCATCTGTGCACAAAGGAAGTTTTCTTCCGGGTTTTGATGTTAACATTAGTGGATTGTCGGTTATTATTTGTAACCTTTAAGAGCGGCTTTTGCAATTGACCAATTTCTAAGGTACATCTCGACAAACAGCCGCAAGAGATTACATTTGAAATATATGCAGTAAACTTCAGATAAAATATGTAAGTGATTTCTATATGCGTGTCAGGTTTTTAACCATTTCCTTTTTCCTTGTGCTGAGAGGAGACCAATATATCACGGGCTTATTTGCTTTTCGGTGAACCAGCATTTATCTCAAGCTTAACAAATAACAAGTCAAATATTTTGGTGGCCGTTAATCTTTGTTACATTTTAAACTTTGTAGACTAGAAACACAACATTCCAAATAAGTGTCAAAGTTGACTGCTGGACAAAGTTGCAGGCGTGACCTGATCAAAGATGGTGGATTGGACAGAGCTGAATAACGTATATGCATGTGCTAGGTTTTGCTGTGGAAACACGGATTTTGATTGTTCGCATGGTTGATTTCCTATTCTGTTGCTTTGGGGCATTGTGTTCCTTGCCGCTTTTCTTTTACAGAACAACCTCCAAAAACTTGGTACACCCCCTAAAAATGTTCAAAATTAATATTCTCCCTAAAATCTCTGGAAATAGGAAAATGCCTTCGACAAAAACAGGGTTCCTCAGTTTTAAACGTCACCCTTATTATTTTCCGCTAATTTCGCTAAATTTTAGATCTAGTACACTTGAGCCTGTGTTGTTGACCGCAACCCACTGACATAGCATTTGATTATTCTGCTCTGTTGGCAGATTGTCCTTTTGATTAACATCAGCTTTTACAGGGTTCGTACAGGTCACGGAAAACATGGAAAGTCATGGAATTTCAAAATTTTATCTTCCAGGCCTGGAGAGTCATGAAATTTAGGTGTTGTTCATGGAAAGTCATGGAAAATCAATATGCTGTCTATGAGTGAAAAGCAATAAGACCCAAATTTGAAAAGTTAACTGACGAGTACAAAAATGAGATTTAATTTCACTAGAAATAAACAGAAGCACGCAGTGTGAGAATGTTTGCAAACATTCTTTCACTCTGCATTCTTGTCATGGAATCTTTCAAAAGGTCAGGGAAAAAGTCATGGAAAGTCATGGAATTTTAACCGGTCAAAATTGTACGAACCCTGTTTTAGGGCATCAAATTATCTTTTTGCCACCAACACATGTCATGTAAGTCAATAAGTATCACGCTGTAAAAGACCAATCATTTTGGTGGATCTTTCCGAGAGCTCTGTCTGCTTTTAATATTTCAACAAGGCATCGAAGCAAATCAAATCTAGTACATTGTTGACATAATGGCTACTTATCAAACAAATGATATCAAGCCAAAAGTTGCAACTGAGGTACCACAGAGACATGTATGTACGATCAAATTTATTCCTAGATTTCTTTTGTCAGAAAGTTAGCCTACATGCACCCTTGATGTTCATCATCAACCGCTGCGTTTCCTTGAGAATAATCCAAATATGGCTGGAAGAAAAGTTCTCAAAAATGGCTCAACTTGCGCTATTCAAATATTTTCTCCTCGTTCATGTTTAAATGATACTCTCTGGGAAATTTCTTGTAAATTTCAAGTTATTTTAAGTTAATAAAACAAAGGTATGGTGTACAGAAGTTGATGATATAGACTAAAAAGTGGGAGGTAGATGTAAATTTCATGTCAGCACAGGCTATGAAATAAATTGCCCAAAAATTTTATTACTGATTTTGGAAGTCCAGCGATGGCTTTCACTGCCCATATAGGAATAATGATCAGAAGTGGTTGCTCATCGGAGATCTTGAGCCTTAAATTACCTTTGTTTTTGGACTTTGTCAAAACCAGAAAAAAGTCGTCTTTACTTAAGCGAGATGTAAGGGAAGAAATGAAATGAAAAAGCTAAAACAGTTCAATTTTCTATAATTCTGGTAGATATAAAATACAACCCAGTTGATTGAATTTGGAAAAAAAATGAAAAAAATGCAGGAATTGGGGGTTTCCAAGGGGGACCCTATATCTCCCAGGGAATTAAATATTTTTACCTATTATTTTCACTCATTTGTTAACTCATGATACCTGGCATTTGTGCCAAGTTTGAGTGAAATCGGTGATTTGAGGTTTATTGCCCCTGCCCGGTTCTGCCCGGTTTTCTCGTGAACACGCTCTCAAGAGGAGTGGAAAAGCCAGGAAAGGGTTGAAGCATGATTTAAAAGTTTCTATTAAGGTCATGGAGTATACTTCCTTAGTTCTCCAAGAACTGTTCAAACAAGTTGGATGGCTCCAACAAGGAAGACATGGCGCACTAGGATTAATTGCTCAAAGAGGGAAGTTGTTGTGGTGCTGTGCATACTATTGACAGAATTCTATTTGTTTATTTGATGCAGATTTGTATCAGATGAGGATATGTTAAACAGGATACGTCGGACCTTCACTGGACTCTTTACACTGGATGAGGTTAGGGATGTTAAAATCAAATTTATCTTGTGGTCACTTCTTCACCTGTAACTGAATCCATCTAGTTTTAATGACTTCAAAATATACTTTCTTTAACTCAGTGGTTTTGAGCGAGGTGTTATCTTCCTTTCAATGAGAAAAACACCACCTTGATGTAAAATTAAATTTGCTTGTTATTAGTTGCAAATTTAACAAAAAAACTTACTAATTGTAATTTTGAGAATTTCTTAAGCATTGAAAGAGTTTCATTGGCCCAGCCCAATCACTGATGAGCTTACTTAGTGGGCGGGGTAGGTGGTAAATTTTTTTTTCCAAGGATTGATCGATGTGGCAGCAGCCTGCAAGGAGAATGTTGGCCACCAGGAAACAAAAACTGAAAAGATACAAACCTATGTATATTTGGCAACAGTGTGGTGCATGTGATTATGGTTACTCATCAGAGTAACTTTGATTACTCCTTGCAAAGTCTATTAAAACATTTGTTTTATGATATCAGGGACCTGAAGGAGATAAAACTGTACAGATGGCTTTAGCAGATCCTGATAGATTTGTTTTGAAGCCACAATTGGAAGGGGGAGGTAGGGCTTTTTCATGGCAACTTTCACTTTGTGTTAAATACTGGAGTATGTGATCAGAAAAAGCTTATGAGAGATTTTTATCCTTACAGGTGACTATCTAGCAAGGTGACTCAGGGAAATATTTAAAACAAAATATGCCAGGCTTTTAAATACAAGTTTAATTTATACTGAAACCAAGCCCAAATTAATAACAATACCAGAGCCTTTTTTTTTTCCAGGAATGAGGAGGAGTTAGGTCTCTGAGACACTTGAAGCTCTAAACGGGTGACCTATTGAAAGGGGGAACCAAATTGAGTGCTCACGCTAATAAGGGCTTGCTATTGTAGCAAATTATCAACATCTTTGTTTCACTGCTAAATGGAAACCTCTCTTAATAATTTGATCATTATTATTTACTTTCCACTTATAGGGAATAACATCTTTGGAGAGGACATTATCAAAACTCTTACTTCAACGGTTGATGTGAAGGAACGATCCAAATTCATTTTGATGAACAAAATTAAACCACCAATCGTCAAGAACTACATAGTTCGTGCAGAACTTCCTGAACCAGTCTTAGCTGACGTGCTCAGTGAGATTGGATGTTTTGGAGTACTCATAAAGTAAGTTATGTGACCAGGCTACCTCTGTCACTTAAGGGGCTGCGGGAAAGGCTTTCATTGGCGGAGCGGCAGGAGCAGCGAAGCCTGCGAGATTACAGCCGGCAAACGAGGCGAGCGGGGGAGATTTCTCCGTCTTAGGGGGCTTTGCCACCCGTGCCGGAGCACCAACTAGTGCTGGCTTCTCTCAGGCTCGGGGTGAAGTGAAAAGTAAGGATCAAGTTGGGAAGAAATAGTCTACAAGAGATCAACAAAAATATCTGTTTGTGGGATGTTCGTTTACCAGGGAGGTGTAAATTTTGGGTTACTAGTGACTTCAAAAGAAGAAAGTGTTCATTTTTTTGCCGAAGGTTATCTTAAAAGAAGATTAGGACGTTATCATTGCGTATTCTTTTTTTTTTTCTTTCAGTCGTGGTGATGAAGTGTTAGTGAACAGAGAGGTTGGACATCTCATGCGAACCAAAAGCACCGTACATCAAGACGGAGGGGTTTCTTCAGGACGAGCCAATCTGGACAGCCCCTATTTGGTTTAACTGTCTACCATCAAGGGACCTTTTAGTTACCTGATAACATGCGAATCTTCACAGCTCTTATTTAATTTAACTGTGAAACATCAAGGGACCTTTTCTTCACCTGATAATTTGAAATTTAGATAGTATTTTCGGTGAAGTTCGTAATCATTATACGCCTTAGTTACCGCATAATGTGCCAAATGAATTTAAATACCCCTTTTTGATGAATCTTTTCACAATTGAAGAACCCCTTATTTAATTTGTTATTTAACTTGGTGTTTCAGTAGTAGATAGCGCGTTGTAGAATTTCTCGAGTCTACATTTTCTTGAATTTTTTAAATAGACCATGATGCTACTTGCTCTTTGTATACAACTTTGTTCCTCAATGCACTCATAGTCAACTATGTAGAAAATAGTTGCATGATATTTAGGCTTCATTGTTATTATTACGGTCCTAACATTCTTAAATTGCTATACAGATGATTGGTTAATCAACTGATAGACCAGTCAATCACTTATTAAACTGAAAGAAGTAAGATTACTTTTGAAAATTTATAGAATAAAAAATCTACTACTTGTACCCAGTGTTTAGCGGTAACAAAAGTACAAAGCTAGCCGGGCTTGTGTTAATCAACTGAATGAATAAAGGGATGAGTTTCGAAAGAAACTATGGTGCTGCGTCTGTTGAAGGAATTTTGACCAACGTCAAGAAATTTTAAAGTTGACGTTTCGATCGTTAGTACTTCGACAGAGCCAATCAAGGAGTTCAGTGTGGGTTGGTTGCGGTTTCTCAACAGGAAGTTGAGCCACGCTGTTGGTGGAAACAATGGTAACGAGAAAAAGCAAGAAGCGAAAAGCGTTCGTTGATGCCGTGGGATTGAGAGTTTCGCAAAACCGAAATAACATATTTGTGCCATGGAAAAAAACTCGGATAATGGATAAAAAATGAAACAGACTCAAGACAAGGATAACATTTGGTTATTTAGTTCTAAATAGTAGCAGAGTGACTCTGCTGATGTCGCATATACAGTATGCTTTACAAACAAAACATCATGGTAAAGGTATCTGACATTCTGGGTCACATGTACTATATGTTAAGATATGCTTGCTCATAGCAAGAGCCCGTTGACCGGTTCATGAAATAAGTGAATTTAACAGACCTGACGACGTCGACAGTTAATTATCTGTTTTGAACCTATAAAACAGACTGTAATGAAAGTCATATACTTACAGATCACTGCTGTAGTTATACTAAAGTATGGAAACCTCATGCGCAGTCCCCTGTCGCGTCCGGATTAAAACCCTAAAATATAAGTGATTACTTGAAATGCTTAGTATATTCCTCAGCAGGCCTGGGAAGTAACCTGCTTTTTTCGTCAATAGAAGCCATTTTGCGGCTGCAAGGATATTTTCTCACCTAACTCCAAGAAACGAAAAGAAATTCAGTTCTAAATTAAAATAACACACTCGATAATCAGTGTTCTTGGTAGAATCTTGTGTCAGACTGGTAGAACTGCTCAGCACTTTCTTTCTCAGTAATCATACCCTGAACGTTATAAATTTAGCCCTCTGGAAAGCAAGTAACAAAAAAGTTTTCAAGTGGCAGCAGAAAACACATTTTCCTTGTCCACTGCATCTTTTATGTCCGGTGTCCCTTCTTCCTCGCTTGATGAACTTGTCTTAGATTTTCCTTCTTTCTTGCCCTCAGCTCCTCCATTTTTGCTTGCCAGTGGCGGTTTCTTCCCCTTACAACTGCATTTCTGGCTTTCCTTTATCAGTTTGTTCACTTGCTGAATGGGAAATGAAACAAAACCAACCGTTACCTTATAAAAGGAAGTATGGCGTGTCATTGCGTGCTGTTTGTAAAACTTTCCCATAATCTGTTGTGAGAACTGTGTGCGTGTAAGCGTAAAACCTAAAGAATAAGTTTGAGTTATCTACGGCCTGGCTCATCGAAAGCATCTTACTTCTTTAAGAGCATGGTTTTCTTTTTTGATGGCCAACAAGTGCTGCACTTTCTGTTGTGGGTTTTGGTGGCCTTTCAATCGAGCATTCTCTTCTTCAATTTTCTTCAGTACCTGCCACAAACAAACAAATCGCAATTAAAAAGTCTTTGCGTCTTTGATCACACCTTAGAAAGGAGTTTTACAACGTGCAAAATTGAAAAAGAGAAAAGTGCAAAACAATTATAAAGTGCAAAACGAGAAAAAAATTCTTGCGAAGCTCTTATTTCACAAAGACGGATTCGGCATGAATATGTTCTGAAGCAAAGTTACCGTAGACTCCTCTATTGGGGAAAGTAAAAATTACTCAAGACAATGCTTCTCAAGTTTTTGGTGACGAGGCGTGCGGCACGAACATGAGAAAGACTAACAATACTAAACATTCCACTGTGTACAAATGCATTTTACCGTGAAAGGAAAATGTACCTAAAGTAACTGATACAACAGTTCTTACCTTTTCCAGTTTGAACTTCTCTTCCATGGTGGATTCCAGTCTAGATTTCAATTCTTCTTTTTCTTCAAATCCTTGCTTCTCCAGCTGTCGAGTTCTAAAATGCAGAACATCAGGACGAGTTTAAAAATGCAGAACATCAGGACGAGTTTAAAAATGCAGAACATCAGGACGAGTTTAAAAATGCAGAATATCAGGACGAGTTTAAAAATGCAGAATATCAGGACGAGTTTAAAAATGCAGAATATCAGGACGAGTTTAAAAATGCAGAATATCAGGACGAGTTTAAAAATGCAGAATATCAGGACGAGTTTAAAAATGCAGAATATCAGGACGAGTTTAAAAATGCAGAATATCAG